GGAAGAATGGAAAATCTACATTGTAAAAAATCTGGAAATAATTCTGGTATTTAAGATAACTGTAAAATGTCAAATAGTAAACTGGGGAGTTGTAGAAAATTCAAAGTATTTCTGCTTCCTGTGAGATTTACTTGTCTTTTAATATTTAGCTTCTATGGTCTACATATACTTTTATGTATTTGATGATTAGAGGATTAAAGAAGATAGTCTCCTCTCATTAGGGTCAAAAGTTGGCATGTAATTTAAATTGATAATGGTGAAACTACACTAAAGTTTATAGTCCCCAAACTCCTATATAATTCATACAACCAAGAAAAAATTTTAATTCTAAAAAAAGTTTTTCACTTACTGTTCTTACCCTGATTGAAATGCCATGTATATTTTTAATCAGGAAAGTCCTAGAAGAATGTATGAGTCCAGGAAATTGCTTTCCTAAGTCTCATTTGAAATTGACATTGAATTGATTTGATACGTTCTGTGTTGATTTGCAGTAAATATGGGCATTTAGGATGAGCCAAGAGTGAGCTGTGGAATAGAAGTGGGATAAAGAATTTAGCTAATAAATTTTAACTGAAAGTGTATTTTAGAGTTAAAGAATTAAATATATGAAGGGGAAATCTCATATGAATTTGATTATTTTCTGACCTTTTTTGTTGAAAACCTTAGTGTCAGAATGATTCCAAGAGAAGCCATAAAATTTTAGAATTACGGAGTCATAAAATCTTATCAATTCAGTGGCTCCAAATATAATTTCTCCTAGGCTGGCTATGTTAATATCATTGAAACATAGATTTCTGGTCTTCATTCTTAAAAACCTAGTGTTAGGTCTAGACTGGAGCTCTGAAATCTGTACTTTTTTTTTTTTTTTTTAAGCCTCCCACCCACTATCCTATGGTTCTGACATGTAGCCTGGCTTGGAACCACAGCCTAATTTCTTCTGCTAGAGTAGTACTTTATTTTATTCAAAATTTCCTCTACCTTTTTACTTCTTCCACTACTCTCCTTATGATGAAAGTATGGACTTTTTTTTCAGAATAGAGCTAACAGATCAAATAGATCCTGCTTTTTAATTATTTTCCCATTTGGAACTGGAAAAGACACACTGCCATGTGATACCACTGTTAATTATAATGTTTACAATATTGAAGATAAACATAGCTATCAAATGGAACTTCTTTGCTTGCTTTGTGGGATGGGAATAATTGTAAATTTCT